CCCCCGTGTGGTTCTGGGATCTTTGCTCACCGTTCTCATGATCATTTTGACCCCACGGGATGAGATCTTGCGTGGAGCCCCAGATCGAGGGAGATTATCAGTGGTCTTGTATGTCTTCCATTTTCTGATGATTGCTCCCACAGTTGATTTTTTCACACCAAGCTGCTTGCCTATTGTAGATTCACTCTTCCCAGTCTGGTGCAGGTCTACAATACTTTTCCTGGTGTCCTTCCACAGCTCTTTGGTCTTGGCCATGGCGGAGTTTGGAGTCTGACTGTTTGAGGCTGTGGACAGGTGTCTTTTATACAGATGATGAGTTCAAACAGGTGCCATTCATACAGGTAACGAGTGGGGGACAGAAAAGCTTCTTACAGAAGACGTTACAGGTCTGTGAGAGCCAGAGATTTTCCTTGTTTGAGGTGACCAAATACTTATTTTCCACCCTGATTTACGAATAAATTCTTTACAAATCCTACCATGTGAATTCATGGATTTTTTTTTCACATTCTGTCTCTCACAGTTGAAGTGTACTTCTGGTGCAAATTACTGACCTCTGTCATCATTTTAAGTGCGGGAACTTGCACAATCAGTGGCTGACTAAATACTTTTTTGCCCCACTGTATGTGGTTGCTGGAGTCGATATAAAAGCCATTACAAGAACTCCAGGAAGCTTAGAGAAATTCACAGAATCCAAGTATTTCACAAAGGTGATCCAAGACATTGAGGTAGAGGTATTCATACTAAAAGTTTAAAGTTCTTTGATAATGACAATTCCCCACAGAGCTCTTTACATCAAGCCCTCACACATTCTGCGGTGGGTTTTTTCTTGCTGTCTATTTAAATTAATATATATTAATAGCTATTTTAAATGAATTGGTGAATAAACAGTTAATTTACTTTACTTCAAAGTATAATTCTTGATATATAATTTCTTTGATTTGAAAGTTTGAGACAGAGAGGAGGTGGGCATTAAATGTAGAATTTGCATGCTACTGTTTAGCCTGTTTATTTTTTTCTTATTTTGGTAATAGATCATTAGATGTACTGTCCATTTAATATTTTTCCCCAGCAAAGTTAAAAGATATGTGTCTGTGCTACCATGACACTAACCTGAATTGTGTCATGGTAGAAATTTCCGTGACACACAGCAATTTGTTAATTTAGGGTGGAGTCAGAAGAGAATGTTGATTTTGCTTTTGTTTTCCAGAGGAATGTTTTTCATTTTTATAATCCTAAAAATGGCAGCTGTTGTCACTGATTGACACAGATTCACTGTTCAATTCAGCGTCGAAGCAATTTGTCACTGACTCAGAATAAAGAATTTTACTTTAAATAGAATTATGTGTGTCTATGTATGGAGTCAACTTCTCTGCAGTAATAATTCAATTTTCAATTCAATTTATTTAGACAGCGCCAAACAGTCGCCTCAAGGTGCTTTATATTGTAAGGTAGACCCTACAATAATACATACAGAGGAAAATTCAACAATCATATGACCCCCTATGAGCAAGACTTTGGTGACAGTGGGAAGGAAAAACTCCCTTTTAACAGGAAGAAACCTCCGGCAGAACCAGGCTCAGGGAGGGGCGGGGCCATCTGCTGCAACCGGTTGGGGAGAGAAAGAAGACAGGATAGAAGACATGTGCAGAGAGAGCGAATGTCAAGTGACAGTGCCACCCAAAGGAAAGGAATATAACTGATAGGCAGGCTAGCAAACATAATAACGTGGTCTAGGAATCCATAGAGTGGAAGGGATGGTGGGAGAAGAGATCAAAGGAAATTTCTGACAATGAAATACCTTTTTAGATGAATGAGTTGAACCCATTGACCGGTTGGCTCGACTCTGAACTGAAGCTCTGACAGTGACGCATGCATGGATTTTAAGACTTGTGGTGATGGCTTGACGACTCGTAAAAGCTTATATGAGCTTGTCTTGGAGTAGAGGATGGAGAGGGAATGCCTGGCTGGTTAATTTACTTTGGGTAAGGTAGCGATAACTACTGTGCCAGTTTCTGAAATGTACAGCGGTGACAGTAAGCAGAACTGAAATACTGATTAGAAGACAACTGCTTGCCATAAAAATAACCCCCAAAACCGGCAGAGAGGCAAGCAGAATTCCACCGAACATCGAAGAAGATGATAATGCTATGTTGGATGCTGTCAGAACCACAAGTCTGCTTGGATTGCTGTCTCGAATAACTGCATTTAGATGATGCTAGTGAGAGCACTTGAGAAGTGAAGGGACACCTTGAGGAATTAGGCCTATTTGCGAGTTCAAATGTCACAGGGAACGGTTCTGGCTCCGTTCCTCTTCACCATCTACACTGCAGACTTCTCCCACAATTCCACCCAGTGCTTCCTGCAGAAGTTCTCTGATGACTCTGCAATAGTCGGCCTCATCACTGATGGGGACGACAAGGAGTACAGAGGACTGACTCAAGACTTTGTGGACTGGTGCCAGCTGAACTACCTCCAGATCAACGCCAGTAAAACCAAGGAGCTGGTGGTAGACTTCCGCAGGCACAAGCATTCTCCACTGCAACCACTGAACATCCAGGGTATGGACATTGAGGCTGTGGACAGCTACAGGTACCTTGGTGTTCATCTGAACAACAGACTGGACTGGACTCATAACTCAGACGCCCTCTACAGGAAAGGGCAGAGCAGGCTGTACCTGCTGCGGAGACTCAGGTCGTTTGGGGTGGAGGGCCCACTCCTGAAGACCTTCTATGACTCTGTGGTGGCTTCTGCTATCTTTTATGGTGTGGTCTGCTGGGGCGGCAGCATCTCTGCTGGGGACAGGAAGAGACTGAACAGGCTGATCCGAAGGGCCAGCTCTGTTCTAGGATGCCCTCTGGACCCAGTGGAGGTGGTGAGTGACAGGAGAATGGCGGCTAAGCTGTCATCCCTGTTGGACAACGTCTCCCACCCCATGTAGCAGACTGTGACAGCACTGAGCAGCTCCTTCAGTGGGAGACTGCGGCACCCACGGTGTGGGACGGAGAGATTTCGCAGGTCTTTCCTCCCCACTGCTGTCAGACTCCACAACAAAGACTTTAACTGAACAAACACACACATCCACACATGTGCAATAACACTAAGTGCAATAATCTTTTCTGGCATCGTTGTATTTTTACTCAGTTGTATATAGCATTCGTATTCTATTTTTATCTTATTGTATATTTTTATTCTATTTTATTCTACTGTATATAGTATATTATTTTATTCTATTCTGTACAGCTGTGTACTGTATTTATTCTTATTGTATTCTAATTTTTGCGTCATAACTTTTGCACTGTCCACTTCCTGCTGTGACAAAACAAATTTCCCACGTGTGGGACTAATAAAGGTTATCTTATCTTATCTTATCTTATCTTAAAAGGAGCAATAAAGGACAAAACCTGGTATCCAAACAATGACCAAAGAATCAGAAACAGACTTAAAGGAGGGGGTCTAATGGTCTAACATCCTTCAGTGGGCCCTATTCTCACTGCCCCCCACTATGGAGACCAACATGTCTTCGCCATAGAGTACCAGAATTGACAGGTCCACCACTGGCACTCTGTGTTGATTCACCCTATCTATCTATCTATCTATCTATCTATCTATCTATCTATCTATCTATCTATCTATCTATCTCTCTCTCTCTCTCTCTCTCTCTCTCTCTCTCTCTCTCTCTCTCAACCAGACATTCTGATGAACTCGCATGTTGGTCATCCTCAGACTTACCAGTTGACTATTTAAGCTGGAGGAAATTTCAGCTATGTATATATTCTTCCACAACCCTCAGACTGACAGGCAAAATAATTCAGTTTCTGGCTGCATTTATCAGTGTCACCAACACTATTTACAGTCTGTCTGACCACTTAGACATTTGTCTCATCCTTGGGCTATTCTGAACTTTCCGATTTAACTCAATTCTGTTTTATTTATATAGCACCAACATTCACAACAGTTGCCTCAAGGTGCTTTATACTGACTAATTCAGATTTAGCCTCTCCTCCACCAAGTACAATTCAAGCTGCCTGCTTGAATACTAAAAAAATCAAAAAATAAATAAACAAACAAACATACAAACAAACAAACAAAAAAACTAGCCACAATTTGCCTCCTTCTTGACTTGTATATTACAACATATAAAAGCACATTTGGAATCAAATCCACATTCTAGCTACTGCTGTAGGACAGGTATCACCTTTTTTTAATTCCTTAAGTTCTATTTAGGACCATGTCTCTTATACTTATTAACATATACATCCAACTGTTAATTTAAACTGCTGACGGCCGAAAAAGGTCAAAAGTCATGTATATTCACAGGTACAGTTATTTTCCATTAGACATGTTAATTTTACAGCCTCTTTTGTAATTGTAACGATATTTCATCTATTTACAAAAGTAACAGGAAAATTCTGTAGAATGACAGACTGTTTTTACAGTGTACATTAGACCACAATATTATGGATCATGTAATGTGCACTGCCATGCTTTGAAATCCAGTTTTAGACCTGGAATAAAAGAAGCTGTGGCTTCTTTTATTTCTCTGTTCACCGTTGACAATTGTGAGTGCTGCTTTAAGAGTATAGCAGGGTGTGTCCACACAGCTTTGTTACCCGCTCAGGCAACCCAGTATCACGTGGTCTCAGCCTCTCCCTGGTTCACTGCCAGGCTCCCTTTCACTACAGCTTCACTAAAGCTTGAGTGGTTAATACTCAGACTGCTCAAACTATAGATTTATGCCTTTTCTTTAAAAGCACTGACATATTGTGAGGTAAGTGAACTGCTAAGTGTTTTGTTTTTTACAGAATATAAAATATTTTGTAGGGCTTTAAATTATCACAGGAAATTTCTTCTTGTTTCCTGGCAGACTAAGCACGGTTTAGTTCATTCCTGCCTGAGGTGTTCAGTTTCTATTCCTGCCTGTAGCCTTTTAAAAAAGCAGCAGTTGGCTGATATTGCTGTTTTTACATCAACCTTGAACAAACCTACAATTTATTTAAGTTATGGAGCGCCTGAAGTTAGTCTTGCAGTACTTCCAGTCCAACTCCGAGTCCATCTCCAATGGAATTTGTATCATCCTCGCCCTGGTTAGTGTCAAGCTTTACACCAGCTTCGACTTTAACTGCCCGTGCCTCCCTCAGTACAACAAACTTTACTCTCTGGGAGTGATGATAGTCCCGCCTATTATACTGTTCTTCCTGGGAATCCTTGTCAACCGGCATACAGGTGTCATGATGGACGAGTGGATGAGACCCATTGGGAACAGATCCAAAAATCCTGCTGTTGTCAAGTAAGTCAAGAATTTGCTATCTAACAGAAGCACACAGACAGGCTGCTGTTGCTATTATATGTAACTGCACAGTAAATGAAATGAAATGAAAGTACTGATTAGTACTAATTAAGCTCAGTGAAATCTGTAGTGTGCTGCATCACCTCTTCTTTTGATAGGTCTAGAGTGCAGGCAGAGCAGTTTATCAACTAGACTTTTTTTTTTACTATGGGATTTATTCCATAGTTCCATAATTTATTATTTATTTATTTCAGCATTAATGTGACCTTGTAGATGCAAGTCCCAAATCCAGATCCTTTTGTATTACACACCAAAGAAATGGACACTGTTCACATCTTTTCCTATTTTGTTTTGCAGGTACTTGTTCTCAGCCATGATCCAGAGGGCCCTGCTGGCACCAATGGTGTGGATCCTGGTCACTTTGCTAGATGGAAAGATCTTTATCTGTGCTTTCAGTGTGAGTGTAGACCCTGCACTCTTCTCAGGTAAACACATGCTAAACTATCCTTCTGTTAAATACCATCTTTTTAGTCTCACAACAGTTTTGGATGATATAAAGTTTTTTTCGACAGGTATGCCTAATAACACAGGTCTGGATGTTCTGAAGATCATGGCCAAAGTACCCTGTAAGGAGGACGTTATCTTCAGGAATAGTTCTTTCCGTAAAGCGGTTTCTCGTTATGTTCGCTGCCATTCACAGGTAAGTTCTCAGCCACATAAACAGTCCCTTCTCCCTGGGGCACACGGGAATTATTATTTTTCAATGAACATTTGCTATTATTTAAAACCGACCTCCTATTAGTCTGTGAAGGATTTTACAGAAAGATGGATTGATCTGACCGAGTGTCAACCAATAAAGCAATTAGAATCTCGACTTTTTACATAGGAAATGTATTATTTACTTCAAAAAATTACAAACCTAGGGTGTCTATTATCGCTGAAAAAGGAGGCCTTTAACAATAAAATACTGTAAAAGCTTGATTTATTGGATCAATGGCAAGAATATTAGATCTGTAACAAATAACAGACATCTGCAACACTCACATCACATTAGCTCTGACACGAGCCCTGTCAGCAGTGAGGTGTTACCCAACAGCAAGAAGGGCTTAGATATGAACCTGAATAACTCAGCCAGAGCCCTTCTATGTTGAGCACCTGTGTGGGTTCCTCCCGGGTCACCAAAGACATGTTTGTTGAGTTAACTGGCAATTCTAAATTGGCCATAGGTGTGAAAGACTGCTTATTTCATTCTGCTGGCTGTGTGAGGGAACGGTAACCTGTCAGGGTGTGCAGGAACAGTTAACAAAAATGTATACAGGAAATTGTCAATTCAATTTATTTATACAGCGCCAAATCACAACTACAGGTGCCTCAAGGTGCTTTATATTGTAAGGTAGACCCTACAACAATACATACAGAGAAAAACTCAACAATCATATGACCCCCTATGAGCAGTTTGTCATATTTGGTGACAGTGGAAAGGAAAAACTTCCTTTTAACAGGAAGAAACCTCCAGCAGAACCAGGCTCAGGGAGGGGCAGGGCCATCTGCTGCGACCGGTTGGGGTGAGAGAAGGGAGACAGGAAATAGCTTAGACAATGTTAAAAGCTTGTGAAAACATAGTGAATGCAATGAACTCATTATTTAGACATCCCATGTGCACCTAAAGTTTTAATGTTTGTTTTGTAATATCTACCGTATTTCCCGGACTACAAAGCGCACCTGAATATTAGCCGCACAAGCTAAAATCAGGGGAAAATCCTGTTTTGTGCATACATTAGCCGCACCTGACCAAAAACCGCAGGTGTTTCAATTTTGACTTATCATATGTAAGAGAATATGCACAAAGGGAATTGTCAGGAAAGAGATGGCTGTTTGGAGACACACCCCTTTTATTAATATTTTGGAAAACAAGTTACGGGTACATATTTGCATAACTTTTTAGGTATATGTACAAGTAGCGGTAATTACAAGTAGGAAACATGTACTGTGCTTCATAAACGAGTAACAAATGTAGTACATAACAATAACCTACAGCACACCAGAAAAATAGATTCGGACTACCTTTTAGGCTCAGGTGCAGTGACACGGCTTTAACAAGAAGAAAAGTCAGTCATTCACCACCATCTTTTTCTTCTTCCTGCGCACTAAAACCAAAGTCCTCTTCTCCAGTGTCGGATACAAACAGGCTCAGGGTGGCTTCGTCATCCACTCTCCGCTTCTTTCCTTCGTTGTCACTTTCAAAACCAAAGAAATCCTCGTTGTCAGAGTCGAACACCCTCAGAAGGGCCGTGGCGGTGTCCTCCTCTCCATCATGCAGCAGTCCAGCCCTTCAAATCCGTTGGTGATCGTGGATGTTTTCACACTTTTCCACGCTGTCAGATTCCACCGGTGGAGTTGGGCATAACTTGCTTTTCGCAAGTTTATTGCCGCTCGTCATCCACGCCTCCCGCTGAACGCGTAGCGCTACTTTGAAGTTTGTTTTTCGCGCTACTTGTACAGCACTATGTTGCCTGGCGGATGGACACGTGACCAACATACCACTCTTGAACCCCTTGTGTGTCTGATCACATGCCCTTCCGCCAGGCAACGTAGTGCCGTACAACAGCGGAACAAACAAAACAAATCGTCTTACGATATCACAAAAATCAGGGACAATCCATAGAAAAGCCGCACCTGACTAAAAGCCGCAGGGTTCAAAGCTGGTGCAAAAAGTAGCGGCTTATAGCCCGACAATTACGGTACTCTGAACTTAAATCTAACAACAAAAACAGATAATAAAAACTTACACTTATAATGAAATGAATGACTAAACTAAAGCTACAATAACTGGCAATCCCGAAACAATCTGCTAAATTAATGAAAAACAAAAATTCAAAAATTCTAATGAAAACAATAGAACTTTGTTTTTAATACTTTTTCAACAGCAGCATTAAGAATGAGAGCTGGAAAAGCTGCAGAGCTTATTCTGTGCAAACAAATAACAGTCCTTTCAGGAAACTTATTCTTTGACTTACCAACCATAGCTTAGTAACAGTCTTTAAAAGACACATTTTGTCCTCTGAATTTTGATACTAAAAAACACGTTCACAACATTTTTGCTCAAAGCAAAGACTCATCAACCAATAAGCGACAAATTAGGGGAACCCAATCGAGGGATTAATAAAGTTTTATCTAATGTGATCTAAATGAACCCTTTAAGACCTACCATAGAACCAAGTGATATTTTTACATGGTGTGGTGCCATTTTTGGGAGCATTTCAAGTTGCTATACATCAATACAACAATTATAGCCCAGATTTTAATAATATGTATTCATTAAGTGCATAGTAATTACATAAATTGCAAAAAAGTGCAATAAACTACAAAAAAATTGAAAATCGTTTTTGCTTTTTTAACATATATTTCTAGTTAGAGAAATTTAAGAGGCTTATCCCTCAAAACTGTAAATACAAAAAAGTTGCACAAAATAGTTTCCTACCACAGGAAATTTATTTTGAGTGTCTTCATAGTTTTATTTTTGAAATACACCAATTTTTATACACTGTAGGAAAAATTTAAATAAATATTATACTGCAAATTTGCAAAAAAGCAGCATATGCATCAAAATAAACAATTTCCAGCAGTGCAATAAGAGTCCTAAGCATCCCAGAAACGACACAGAAAATCATAAAGTCAAACATAACTTTTAAAAAGACCAATATAGGCCCTGAGGCCCTGATGGTAAAAAAGACTACATTTCCGCGAAAATGACGTCACTTCCAGTTTCGGGTAGGTAATGGCGGACATGCAAAAGTTCGCACTGACGTCTATTCCAACGTAGGAAGTGTTATGAACAGCTGATCGGATCGGCAAAGCGTGTTTCTGGAATATTATGTTTTTGTTCCTGCAAGCGCTTTTTATGCAGTTTTTTTCAAAGCTATACGTGGAAGGAAACTGTGACCTAGGACAAGCTGGTGGCATTAGATGTAAGTACAACTCCTCCGGTTTCATATGCAAAAAAAAATTATTGCGCTAGCTTACGTGGTTGCAGAGCTATCGGGATTTAAAAATAGTTACGTAAAACAGAGCATGCCCGCTCCGACCGGCTCTAAAGGGTTAAACATTAAAGCACCTGCACTGGCTCTCTGTGGCCTTGTCACAGTCACTGCTCTGCTTACTGACAGTTTTCTTCGCTTTGCATGATTTGCTTTCTTATCCTGTCTAGGCGATTGGTTGGTCCATCCTCTTGTTCCTGATTGTACTGGGAGCACTGGGACGCCTCATCAAGCCCTGTTTTGACGACCATGCCACCTTCCTGCAGACACGCTACTGGAGCAACTATCTTGACGTGGAGCAGAAGCTCTTCGATGAGACCTGCGTCCTACATGCCCGAGACTTCGCCCGAAAGTGTGTGGTGCAGTTCTTTGAGGACGTCAGGGAGGACTCTCTACGTCTTCCACACCCGGTCTTCATCAGCAAATTCAGAGAGGAGTGCGATGATGAAGAAGAACAGCTTCATGGGATAACAAAACAGGAGCAAGTGGACCAGCTGCTAAACAAGTGGTATTACGGTAAACCTGAACTGGATGTGTCTAGGATTGCATACAGGCCCAGACCATGTGTTACCTGGGAGAACCATGAAGGGAAGACATTATACTCTGATGTGTAGTCCACATGTCCACTTAATTTGAGAGCCTTCTGCAACATCACGAACACCATCTTCAATTCAGCAGAGGATTCTGACAAAGGTTTCAAAACCGGAAGACTGGACCATGACATTTCAGTCAGTGATGGGTGTGTGTGTGTGTGTATATATATATATATATATATATATATATCTATATATATATGTATATATGCAGAGATTTACCGACTACTTCTGCTAAAAGATGGCCACTTCTTTCAGAATCTGTCTTTGTCATTTCATCCACTGACTTCTGCTCAGTGACCTTAATCCTAGATGCTGTGACAGGACCTGGAGACTTATCAACTAAAGTTCTGGCAATCAGACACTTGACAATTTTCAACAGATGCTCATATTAAACGTTTCAAATAATGACAAAGAAGTGTGTAAACATGTGTGAGGGAATTGGATAAGGCCTGAAAGAGCAGATAGTGTTAAATTATATCAGCTGTAAATGCTCTCTTGAGTTGTTTCTGCATGAAGGTCATTTCACTGGCAGGTTACCAATGACACTCTGAGCATTGGAAATGGTCTAGCAGCAGTTAGTCAGTTAGGGACTTGACTTATATTGGCAAAGTTTATAGTTAGGGCTGGAAATTGTCTAATATGAATTCTGTTCATACTAGGGAGCATTCAAAAGTTTGTTTGTTTCCCCATCAGCTTCGTTATAAGCAATGACATTGTTTCCAAGGTTCTTGGTCTAATTTTCCTGTTATTATCTGGTCTACTGACTATTTGGTAAGATTCGTCTAACATGTTGGCTAACAAAGCAGCATTCAGTTCCATTCAATCCCCACAACTGATTCATTTACACACCAACCTGTATAAAATGGCTGTTTCAGAGGAAGAGTAAAAACAGGCAGTATGCAAAAGAGAAAGAACACATGAAGAATGCACCACTATAATGGAGTTCAGTACTAAAGCTAAAAACAGCTAAATTAAAATATGTCTCTTTCAAGAGTCAACAAAGTGGAAGAATTATGGTGTGGTGTATTATTTTTACCTTTGACCACTGACTATTTAGTGTTTGTTAGTAATAACTAACAAAACCACAAAAATGTTTGTTTCCAAGTCAAGTCCAGGATCAAATGGACAAATCTGTTATAATAACTTGATGTTTTTGATTTGGTAAAGAGTGATAAAATGGTTTGTCTTCATATGAAACATGTTGCAAGAGTCATTTGAATTTGTTGGGTGTTGGCTGACAAGCTTTGCATAGGAAACATGGAGCTCACCCACAGATTGATTAAAAGATGCAAATAGACACTTGGCAGCAAACAAGCACTAAAAAAGACCTCTTTTTCAAGTTTCCCCATCTAGTTGCATTAATACATTCTTTTAACCCTTTAAGACCTACCTTAGAACCAAGTCCGCCAGAGCTTATATTATATTTTTACATGTTGTAGAGCCATTTTTGGGAGCATTTCAAGTTGCTATACATCAATACAACCATTACAGCCTAAATTGTAATAATATGTATGCATTAAGTGCATAGTAATTACATAAATTGCAAAAAAGTGCAATAAACTGCAAAAAAATTGAAAATCGTTTTTGCTTTTTTAACATATATTTCTAGTTAGAGAAATTTAAGAGGCTTATCCCTCAAAACTGTAAATACAAAAAAGTTGCACAAAATAGTTTCCCACCACAGGAAATTTATTTTAAGTGTCTTCATAGTTTTATTTTTGAAATACACCAATTTTTATACACTGTAGGAAAAATTTAAATAAATATTATACTGCAAATTTGCAAAAAAGCAGCATATGCATCAAAATAAACTATTTCCAGCAGTGCAATAAGAGTCCTAAGCATCCCAGAAACGACACAGAAAGCCATGAAGTCAAACATAACTTTTAAAAAGACCAGTATAGGCCTTGAGGCCCTGATGGTAAAAAACAACATTTCTGCGAAAATGACATCACTTCCGGTTTCGGGCAGGTCATGGCGGACATGTGATAGTTCGCGCTGATGTCTATTCCAAGGTAGGAAGTGCTATGAACAGCTGATCGGATCGGCAAAGCGTGTTTCTGGAATATTATGTTTTTGTTGCTGCAAGCGCTTTTTATGCAGTTTTTGCAAAGCTATACGTGGAAGGAAACCGGGACCTAGGACAGGCTGATGGCATAAGATGTAAGTACAACTCCTCTGGTTTCATTTGCAAAAAAAAATGTATGCACTAGCTCACGTGGTTGCAGTGCTACCGGGATTCAAAAGTAGTTGCGCAAAACGGAGCGTGCCCGCTCTGACCGGTTTTAAAGGGTTAATGTGTATGGGTATGTATATGAGTTTTGTATTGCAAAATGAAAGGCAGTTACCACTAACGTTGCACAAGCTCCCATTAATGGCATTACTGGTTGAAGCTCTCAATTTGGGGCAACCGTGGCTCAGGGAGTTGGGAATCGCATCTGTAATCGGAAAGTCGCCGGTTCGATCCCTGGGCTCTCTGTCCTGGTCGTTGTGTCCCTGGGCAAGACACTTTACCCTACTTGCCTACTGGTGTTGGCCAGAGGGACCGATGGCGCGATATGGCAGCCTCGCTTCTGTCAGTCTGCCTCAGGGCAGCTGTGGCTACAACTGTAGCCTGCCTCCACCAGTGTATGAATGTGAGAGTGAATGAATAGTGGTATTGTAAAGCGCTTTGGGTGCCTTGAAAAGCGCTATATAAATCCAATCCATTATTATTATTATTAATTTACCGGTCTGTGATGGACCGAGTTGAAAAACAGGAGGAGCCCAGGAATTATTAGAAAAATATAGTTTCCATTTATTTAACCCCCAAAAATTATATTTACAAGACTAATAAATGTTGAGCTCATAAAAGGGTTAGGGGTTGGGTGAAAACAGGCCAACAGCAATCGGAGGCCTGACGGGCACTGTCCATCAATGGGGGCCGAGGGTTCTTGCCGGGAGGTGGAGTCCCTGCCCCGGTGTTCAAAAAATTGCCTTTGTCTAGGGTGAAATGCAAGTCTGTGGGCCGTCGCGACGTTTCGGCTGGAGTAAGCCTTCTTCAGACTGGCCCAAAGCGATTCTAATTTGAGTTCTGCAGGTAAGTATATTTTCTTTTTCCTTTTTTAGGTTTTTTTCAAGTTGAATTTGGTTCCCACCTGGTTAGGAGAAGGTAAGATGGGGGCTCGATTGCCGAAGGCAATCGGGCACCAATGCACAGGCCATTCCTGCTCCCGGCTCAAGGAACCATGTCCCCAACTTGGTGCCCTGAAAAAGGGATTATGTTAGCATCCTGGACATGAGGCTTACACTGTGATCAGCCCCAGATGGGGGAGGGGGGGGGGGAAGGGGGAAAAGAGCGAGGGAGAGCGAGGGGTAAGAGAGTGAGAGAGGGAGAGAGAGAGGGAGAGGGAGGGAGGGTGGAGTTTGGAGTTGAGGGTCATCCCAATATAGGGTTAGGGGGTTAGGTTTAGGTTTGAAGAAAAGAACCTGTCCCTCCCGAAGGAGGAACAGGGCGTGCACGGGCCATCAACCCCGATGGTCCGCAGCCTCACATCCCTCTACCTCCATAATTGATTTTTAATTTGAAAGGTAAGTATTTCTTTTTTTACAGGTTTGCAAAGGTAGGTATTCTTTTTTTGCAGGTTCCCAATTTTTCCGTTACTTTGGCTTGTTTCCAATGTTTCTTTTTTTACAGGTTTGCAAAGGTAGGTATTCTTTTTTTGCAGGTTCCCAATTTTTCCGTTACTTTGGCTTGTTTCCAATAAAGTGTTTTCAATCCCAATTTGTTTTCTGTGTGGTTTTTAATTTTGTTTTGAGTTCTCTCTAATTTGAGTTGTTAAGGAAAATCAATAAAACATGAATTAAAACATGAAATAAAATCCCCCAAAAATAACAAACTAAAATAACAAACTAACGTAAAATTGAAAAAATTAAATGAGTATGCCCTTGTCGCGACGTTTCGAAGTTGTTTCTTCTTCCTCAGGCGAGGGCATACTGAAGAGCACTGGGTTTGAGGCTCCTATTTATACTCTCCCCTCTGATCCCGCCTCCTTGGCTTTCTTTGGCTTTCTTGTAATATCTTTTTTTAGCTGTTTGCTTTTTTCCAATTCTGCCAAACTTTTTGGCTCTCATTTTTCCTTTTTTCTTTCTTTCTTCCTTTCCAGTCTTCTCCTCTCTTTCCCCTTTGACTTTTCCTTTTTCATCATCCTTTTCTTCCCTTCTCTTGACCTCTGCCCTTTACCCTTCCTTTTGGCCTACATCTGACCTCTTTCTCTTCCGAATTTTGGGCTACTACAATGCCGACTTGGCTTTAATACTACACTCTCAACCCTGCTTGGGGAGGACTCAACCCGACTTGGGGATTATTGATAGCAGGTCCCCCTAAGGGGCCTGAGTGCACTGTCCATCAATGGGGGCTGAGTAGCCTCTGCCCGGCGGTTCCAAAAATTACCCATGTCTAGGGTGTAAGAGCAAGTGGGCTGTCGCGACGTTTCGGCAGCATAGTGCCTTCCTCAGGCGAGCCCAGTCAAATGAGAGGTATCTTCCTTTATACAGGCTTTTTTATACAGATAAGTATTTTTTCTTTTCTTTCTTCCTTTATACAGGCTTTTTGTTTTACAGGTAAGTATTTCTCCTTTCTTTAGGCTTTTTTCTTCCTTTATACAGGCTTTTTGTTTTACAGGTAAGTATTTCTCCTTTCCTTAGGTTGTTTACTGGTAAGTATTTTCCCCTTTTATTTCTTTCCTTTATACAGGCTTATTTTTAAACAGGTAAGTTTTTTTCTTAGGGTTTTTTCTGCTCTTTTTCTCTTTTTTTAAGGTTTTTTTTAATTTTTAATTAGCCCCCCTGGTTAGGGTTAGGGCTTAGGACCAGGCAGGGGCATCCCCCACCCCCACGAGGCACGGGCTGGTTAGGGATTATTGATAGCAGGTCCCCCTTAGGGGCCTGAGTGCACTGTCCATCAATGGGGGCTGAGTAGCCTCTGCCCGGCGGTTCCAAAAATTACCCATGTCTAGGGTGTAAGAGCAAGTGGGCTG